CAGTTGAAAAGAAAAAGGGAAAAAAATTAAGAAAATAAGTGTCACCTCAAAAAATTGCTATAAATCATTTAAAATCCTATTCAACAAGAATGTCAAACCATTACCAGATTATCCCATGTCTACTCAACTCGCTCTTAGAAACACAACCTAACTACTTTACTCATTTAATGGGAATCTTGAAGCAGGTATTTTCAGAGCAGACTTCAATAAATACAAATCTTATTTGCACATAATAGAAAACTTTAAAACAGAGACACTGGCTGTGTGGCTTTTCGATTCAGAAATTTTCACAAGCATAATGCGTGTCTCCCGCTGATAAATACACCTGTTCTGCATGAAGTGTTACTATCAAATTACATAAAGGTTCAATCTTCCGCACGTACTGACAGATGATACATATAAATAAAAAAGAAAAAACGGACACCTCTTGGGTAAGCTAAAGCTCGATTGTGAATTTCTTGTGGAACTCCATGGCGGCAAGCTGTGTAACTGCAGCATCTAATTTCACCCTTTTCACTCGCTCGCTCTCTCTCAGAATTTTTCTTCACCTTAATTTTAATCAATATTGATAGATAAAGAACCCAAAAAATGAGGTGGGTTCTTGAGGATAATGAGATTGAATTTTTCTTTACCTCAATTTTAATCAATGTTGATAGATAAAGAACCCAACAAATGAGGTGGGTTCTTGACGATAGTGAGATTCATGATGCATGCGAAAAACATTTGTTAAGTGGGAGAAACCCAGAATGTGACTGCAAATTGCCCAATAAAAACAAAATGGAATAGTAGTCGTGAACAATCATTTCCTTTTTATTTTTATTATTATTATTATTATTATTATTATTATTATTATTATTATTATTATTATTATTATTATTTTATCAGTGTTATTTTTTTTATTATTATTATTATCATAGGATGACCGCGCGCACAGGTAGACACGAGCGTGACTAATTGGTTGAAAAAAACTGTGTATTTTATATATTTATTAACGTATTTTTATATGCTATTTTTGTTACATTTATATATTTTTCAACATTTGTTGTCCTTTTATATTTTTTAATTTTATTTTTATGATATTAGAGTATATAAAAGAAATTACAACTGGTGCAGTATGAGTTCCCATAATGGCCCAAAAATAGCCCAATGAAATTAATAAAAAAACAAAGAGGAAATTACATCCTCCACTTAAACAATCTGAAAAAATTACATAATTACACCTCCTATATAATTATTTACAAATTAACTAAATTTGTTATATATATTTGCATATATGCCTAAAAAGCTAATTTCCTATTTACATGGTAACTTCTCATTCCTATTTACATGGCAACTTCCCATCAATTACTACTCTCTCCTCTCCCCCTCTCGTTCTCTTCTTCACACGTCTCGGTTTTAAATTAAGAAAACGAATTTGGATTCTGTTCATGTAAAAAAATCTGGGATTTGTGCATTGAACCCTCAAGCTTCTGTAGAAGAAGCTGAGGCGATTGCAAAGAGACCATCCATGGGAGGACTACTTGATCAGCCTCTCGCCACTAGATTTATTCACGTATGTTTATCTTCTTTAACCTAATTAGAAATTTGATGATATGTATCTCTTTTAGTGCAATTTATCTTCTGAAGATTGCAATTGAATATGATAGTCTTTTCTTCCCAAGAGGTTGCGTCATCAATAGGGGCAGTTGTAAAGTAATTACTGGTTTATAGTGGGATCTTTGTAAATTTTAGTGGGATTTGAAGAATTTTGTAACAATCTGTTTTCTATCTTTAGTCATGTGTGATCCAATGTGTAAGAATTATTGAGAATGTTTGTTATTTGTTGAAGGAAATATTTTGCACTGTTTTTGCACTGTTTTTATCTCGGGAATTTCGAGAAGCCGAGTTTACAAAATGTTCAGGAATCAATACGACACCGACGAGACGACGTGGTTGCCCACAGGGCGGCTGTTCCAAGTGGAGTACGCGATGGAGGTGGTGAAGCAGAAGAGTTCGAGACGATGGAAGAAAAAACTGGAAATTGGAGACTGTGGGTGGAGGCCATGAATTAATCGGGTATATGTTGTAGATATATAGGGTATATGTTCTGTATAATATAAGGGCTACCTTATATGTATGTATGGTTTTATATTGACAAAGCATAAACCGATGATGTTTCAATTAACGTTAAACTTACGAAAAAAAAAAAGAAGACATAAAATTTTCATGAAAGACATGTTTTTCATTGCAACATATACTGAATATATACTAACATAAACGCAACATATACCGATCTGGACAGTCGCGTGAATTAGAAGACATAATTTTTTTATGAAAGACATGTTTTTCATTGCAACATATACTAATATATACTAACATATACTATATGTAGCGGGTGTACACAGTATTTTTTCATTATATGTTTCGAGTATGAAAATTTATATGTTTCGGGTATATATTACGGGTATATACAGTATATATCAAAGTTATACAACACACATATACATAAAATATACACTCGAGATTCTAGTAATTCAAGCCAACCGGGACACATATATACATAAAATATACGTTAAATAACACTCGAGTTTCAATCGTTTCTCAAAATCGATTTTAGAACCCATATATACATAAAATATACTTAAGATATACACTTGGCCGGAAAGGACTGTCACGGCAGAGGGAAAGCGGGCTGCAGAGGCTGAGGACGAAAGCTCGCGGGGTCTGCTCCCGGCGGTCCTAATCGCCGGAGGAAGAGGCTGGTCGCAGCGTCTGGTCGTGACAGGGTTCGCCGGAAGCCGCAATTCACGCGTGAACAAGGGTCGCCGGAATTCTTCGCGAGATGGAGGCGGCGCTAGGCAGCGACTCACGGCGTGGGAGGATAGCGGGTCGTGGCGTTGCTGGGGTCTCGTCGCAGAGGGCTCGCGACTGGTTCTGATCGAAATTCGCAGGTCCACGCGGAGGATACTCGCCGGCGGGAGGCTCGCGGCGTCAGATTTGCAGAGACTCGCGGCTTGCTGCTCGCGAACAGAGATGAGTTCACGGCGGAGGACTTGCGAGCAGGCGACGGTCGGGGGTACTGCGCGGCGGAGGGGCTCGCCGGCGATTGGTCTGCGCGTCGTTCAGAGGATGGCGGAGGAGGAGATGACGAGATGATGGTGATGGTGTCGCGGCGCGTCTGGGTGGTCGCAACTTGGAGATCGACGACGACGGGAAAGATCAGAGGAGGGGATGATGACGATCGGTGGTGAGTTGAACAACAAGAGAAAAAGAGAGATGGTGGCGGGTTCTCTTTTCCGATCGAGATCACCGAAAAACTGGCCGCTCTACTACTTGCCGAGAGGTCACAGAATTTTGGGAACTTTCAGAGGAATTTTTTTGGGAGAGGAACGACTTTGCTGCGTGATTTGTTCCTATCAAATAGGAATGGAGATATGTCACTTATTTTTTAGGCAGTAATGTAATTAATTATTGTCTATTAGGTATATACCCAATTAATTATGTATGAATGGTAATTTTGCAATATTTTAATAATCATGTAGGATAACTGAAAATTTCCCAAAAAAAAAAACGTTAGTGATGCTTTAAGGCCAATTGGGCTCCAAGACTCGTGGTCACCTATTCAACAATAAGGGTTGTTTGCCCACTTGCGACTTATTTCACATTTATTTGAGGGCTACACGAGAATAAAACGTACGGAGACGTGTATGGGCGGATCTAGAAAATTTAATTGGGGAAGACCAAATAATTTTCAATATAGACATACTTCATTAAAAAAGATAAAGTTTCATTTCTAAAATAGAACAAAAAAAAAAAAAAATAGTTCAAGAAAATACATACTGTTCAAATTTTGTGACTATTAGAATTGTGCTCGACGTTTTCTCAAGTCACGAAATCCATCGATGAATAACTCGATAGTAATAGATCTTGCAACTTCCCTTTCAACAAATATAGTCAAAGAATTTATAAGAAAGTCATCTTCCATTTTACTTCGAAGTTTGGATTTAACGATAGCCACAGCCGAAAATGCATGCTCTGTGGTCTCCATAGACACAGGAAGAGTAAGAATCAACCTTATTAATCTATCAATCAATAGATATATCAAGGATTTTCTACTTTTCGCCATCCATTAGTACAAATCAGAGATAGTGCACAGATTTTGAAATTCTGAATGCTTGAGAACACCAATCTCATAATGTCGCAATTGAACTTGCAGTAAATCTCTTTCATAATCCATGAAGTCTCTGGGATAAAATTCATTGACAAGATGACAAGTGTTGTCTATATCAAAAGACAATCGAGAATTGCAAGGATCAAACATAGAGCTAAGAACAAGTAGCTTCACGGCATGCTCACTAAATCTGTTGTTTAGCTCTTGCAGTTGACAATGTATCGTAACTGTAAATATATTAATACGGTAATGATCACCGACTGTAAATAAATTTTGTTTGTTCCGAGATCATCCTCCTCTTTCAACATATAAATCATTAACATCGGGAATATTTATCGCACGACTTTCACAAAAAGACTTTACCTTGACAAAAAGACTGTCATATACATCATCTCTCAGTTTTTGGATTAGACTCTTTGTAGTGTCAACAAGATGCATAGCATTCAGAATATCTTGAGATTTCCGTTGGAGAGCTTGACAAAGCGTATTAGTTATTTCCATTATTTCTTTCATAAGATACAAGATAAAGACGAACTCGAAAGAGGTCAAAGAAATGTAAGCTGAATCTGTATCGGCTCGTTGTTCACAATTTCCGTCATCAATGATGCACAACGAAACCGAGCAAGTTGCACTAAACATCTTCAACAAACTAGAAATTGACCTCAAGTGCGAACCCCACCGTGTATCTCCTGCTCGTTGTAAACTACCAATTTGATTTTGTCCAGACCCTTTTTCAAGCTCATCAATAGAAATCAAGTAAGCAATATCAGAAGCTTGGGCCGCTTTTAATGCATCGACACGTTTACAAGAAGAACCCACCACATTTATGATGAAATTTAACTTGGGATAAAAATGGTGGACGGGGATAACTTCTTTAGATGTTCCAACTAACGCCAATTGCAACCGATAAGCTAAACAATGCACATAATATGTATACGGGCATTCTTTAGCAATTAGTGCTTGTAATCCGTCGAATTCACCACGCATATTACTCGCTCCATCATATCCTTGGCCCCGAATATTTTGAATGTCAAGATTGTGACGAGAAAGGGTGGAAAATATTGCATCTTTTAGGGTTATCGCCTTTGTATCACACACATATACAAGATCAAAGAAGCGCTCCCGAACAAAACCACAAATATCAACAAATTTCAAGACGATACCCATTTGCTCCCTTTTCGATTGATCTCTGGCCTCATCAACAATAATGCAAAATTTTGCATCCCCAATTTCTTCACGAATCACTTTCTTGATCATCATTGAGATAACAAGTAAAATGTCCTTTTGGACAGATGGGGATGTATAAGAGGCATTTTGAGATGCTTTGTCTAATACAACATTTGCAATATTTCCATTAAGCTTAGACATTGCACTAAAAAATTCAAGAACATTTCCATGATTAAGAGACTCTTCACTTTCATTATGACCTCTAAAAGCCAAACCTTGACTTGCAAGATACCGGGAAAAAACAATTGAAGCTTCAAGCCGTAATCTATTCTTTGCAACTTGTTCAGAAGATTGTTTTTCAATAAGTGGCCGAACATGTTGTGCTCGATTCATTAGGTCTTCACATGATTTCTCAGCAATTTGGTGCAATGAAATGATCTTTTCCAGCGTGATTTAGAAATGCACAATCTTTTCCATTCCGGACTTTTTTCCAGTTTTTGAACCCATCAACAATAAAAGTATTCTGACTGTGATGCTTACCTGGTTTGTTGAACGAATAACAAGGCAAACAAAATGCAGCATCACTCGTAGGGGAATATTTAACCAAGATGAAAATATTTTGAACCACGACGCTTGAACACGACGAGAATGCTTCTCAGACCCGCTCGAAGGATATTCTCCTTTGTATTGATAAGGACCGTAGCTAATATAAGCTCATCGAACTTCATCAATTTTATCAACGGGATAACTTGATATTGGCATCCGTAACCCTGGATCACGTTCAAGTTTGTTGATATCAAACACCACCGGTTCAATTATGTGTGATTTTTTAATGTGATTAACAGCTTTCTCAACCGTTGATGGTCCCCCATTATCTTCCTCAATCTGATCACGTTTTCTCTGGAAAAACGAGTCTATTCTTGACGACTTTGACATATCCTAAAACTAAAAATAGACAATAAAATTAATATTTACAAAATCGTATAAGCCTATATATGATTCATGAATTAAAAAATGATATAAGCCTATATATGATCTAAACTAGAGAGGATGAATTAAGACATTCAAGAATGATGAATAAATACACAAATTAAATGCTAGTTTTAAACCCTAAATCCCTAAAAAGGATAAATAAATCTAATTATGAACATTAGCATAAATTAAAGTACTCACAATATGAAAGGATGATCAAACTCAGAAGAATCAAGGAATTGTTGAGTATGAG